TGAAATTTCAGCGTGGCATGGTCGTTTTAATAAAATTGTAATTTATCAATAGACATACACTGGATGAAATCTCTTACGGTCATTTTCTCTTTCAAAGTGAACTATATTTGTTTTAGAAAATCGAAAATGACGTCACGATCACGTAGTATTGCTACACTGTTATATCAATTTTAATGAAATATCATTACTAGAAAGTATAAAACACACTTAAAACATAATAAAAACGTTTATATCTAAAAGTTACCTGAAATTATGCACGGAGATATACTTAAGATCGTTTTTGGAAAGTCCATATGTGGCCTTTACTGCGTTGATGCAACGTAAAACCAACAAATAACATAGACAAAATAACCTCGAAAATGCACTTTTGAACCTCTGTTTATGCTATGACATTGCTCATATATCAGATTTAATAATATATTAAACTAGCTATTGCGTGTTACATATTTTGTACCCTTTTATAATTAGAGCTTTGTTAATATAATGCAAAACTATATTAACATTTTACGGTCTCGGAATTGAATAATCTTTTCATTGTTTCTTTCCTTTTGTGTAAGATATTCATTGTTTGTTCCTGTTGTTTATATGCAAAGAAACATCTTGGACATGTCCGATAACGTCATATCATAATGCGTACTTGTTATGATTGCGTAATATTGTTGTAGATATAAAAAGACATTGTGTAATAAGCTGTCGTCAGATTACTGTTTAAAGAAAAACATCATGTTTTATTTAGATCAAGGTTACCTATTTCAAAATGATGTATGTAAAGTTAATAATTATTTTCTTTTAACAATAATAATTAGTTATCTCAATCTATATATAAATAAAAGTGAGTCAATCAAATGGTATTATCATTAGTATCAGTAACGATAATGACGTTGATGACATATGGTTATTCAATTGTACTTTTATCAATGATATAATGAGTGATTATTAAAAGTCACGTTAAAAATATTTCCGATCAATTCATAAATATATTTATATTACAAACGTGTAAAACACGAACTTATATACGCATTGTTTAAGATAACATAATTTGATAATATTCTATTAAATTCTTCTCTTTTCAGTTTGTTAACCTTTTACCGCATGAGCATATTGTGAAAAAATGGCCGTTTTCATTGAAAAGCCTCCTGTTACAAGTTCAAACTGCTATGAAACTACGAAAAATGCCTCAGTACTGATGAAACTTGGCAAAAAAGTTTACTCGACCATTAGACAGGACTGATTTTAAGAAAATATGAATGCTAGAGGCATTTTATAGTACAAGTAATATTTTGAGAGTTTTAATCTAATATGGCTATGCTGAAGACGATGAGGGTGGATACCAAGATAATAAAATTGACCGTGCCACATCACATATATGTGATGTATACTTCATCACAGTCTTCACAAAAATAACAGAAAACACCAAATGTTTACCATCTTCTTTAAAAATAAGTGACTATTTAATTTGAAATTTAAAGTTAAAGTTAAAAACAACAACAACAATAACAACACCATATTTACATCGAGTCATAAAATGTTTGAAACCGGGAGATTGCTACGTGTGCTTGCTTTACCATGGCAGCTCTCGAAAATTTTGGAATTCAGTCACGGTTTTGAGAAAGTTCTACTAGAAGATTATCACATCATTTGATATACATTAGAATTCCGGATACCCTCCAATAAATCCAGGATATCTTAAAGTAACAGCAAAGTTATCTATAAAAATATTACTTGTAATAAATCGAGTAATATTTTCTTTGACCATTTATAAAAGTCACCTGGGTTGGCTACATAGTAGAGGTGTTAAAATATAATTGTAATACACCCTTTGTTAGCCATTGAAATAGTATTTAATGTATAAAAGACTTTCAAAATTGGTTATGATTCAAAGCGGACGCTATAGTGCAGTGGTAACACTGTCTGCCTACAAATCAAGGGGTTGTGAGTTCGATCCCCCGCTTCTCCTCTGAACGAATAAATGACTACAAGACTGACTAAACCAGGATATCGACACAGAATGACAGCATCGATAGATACAAGAGAAAACCTTAACGGAACAGGAAACAAGTACCGAAAGTACAAGACCGAAGACGACGACCGATAACAGAAGGAAGAACGGAGACAAAGACTGACAACAAGCGAACAGAGACGAGGACCGATAACAGAAGAACAGAGACAGAAACAAATAACAGAAGAACAGAGACAGGGACCGATAACAGCAGGACTGACAACAAGCGAACAGAGACGAGGACTGATAACAGACGAACGAAGACGAGAACCGAAAACAGAAGAACAAAGACGACGACCGAAAACAGAGACTTCAACCGATAAAACAACATCTGACAACAAAAGAACTGAGACCAGGACCGATAATAGAAGAACGAAGACGACGACCGATAACAGAAAAACGAGCATCAAAACTCAAGAGTACTCAGAGAAAGGTGCCTTTAATTAATGTATATTTTGCATGCACATGTTTAACCTCCTCACACATACGAAGTATCTGAGTAGTCACGTTATATGCTTGCATAGAGTGCCAGATAAAATACATGAAACCTCTATATCTAGCAGTGTAAACCCTAAACACAGGTCTCTTATGTTTAAATGCCTTAAAATTTTCAGTACTATCTTTAATATAACTTCTATATGTTATATTGGCCTATAGAAAAATGTCCACCATCTTGGATTATTCGGCCAAATTGGATTGTTTTTTTTGTTTTAATTCTGTTTTGGTGTCTAATTTGTTTTTACCTAAACATGCTTTGTGACAAATTTCAGGCTTTTCCTTTCCTTAAAAGTTTTATTTGATATATCATCCATTTGATGTTAAAGAAATTTGGCGCTCATTTTAGTGGTCATTTTAAATGGCCATTTCAATGGTCAAGATCAAGTTTTTCAATTTGGTATCCACTTTTACCGGATTCAGCATACCTTAAATAGGTTAAATACACCAAGAAACCTCTTGTACTACAAAATGCCTCTAGCATCTTATAGGGAGCCAAATTCTCAAAGTCAGTCCTGTCTACATAGCCTTTGTAACAGCATATTCAATTTTAAATTTTCTATTACCATGGCGACGGGGGACGTCTCAAAATTGCCAAAACACTATTTTGCTTTTTTTTTTCATGAAAACTTATTTCAAAGTGCTGCAACTTCTCAAAAGATTGAGATCGAGAATAAGGCTTTCCAGCGTTGGTTACACGTTACCTTAAGATTGACCAGAGGCCATTTTTGTCACATATGCAAAATTTTCCTGGCACATTCTCCCCTCAAGTATGAAAAACCTTGGAATTACCTAAAATCGAGATATTCATTGTTAACTCGTGGCCTTACACCTAATTTTGGTGAAAATGTAGTTTTGTTGCATTTTTTTATCTTTTAATTAACAGAAAATGACGAAAACCTTGGAATTACCCAAAGCGAGATTTTCCATTTTAAATCGTGGCCTTAAAAACTGTGGTTTTGTGGCATTTATTTTTTTATTTGATTTACCCTTGTGTAGAGCATCTTGTGAAAATTGGTCGTTTTATTGAAAAGCGTACTGTTACAAGTTCAAACTGCAATGAAATTATAAAAAAAATGCTTCAATACTGATGAAACTTGGCACAAATGTTGACTGAACCATAGCCTTTGTAACAGCATGCTCAATCTTAAATTTTCTGTTATTATTGCAACCGGGACGGGGCGTCTCAAAATTGCCAAAAATCAGTATTTTGCATTGCTTTTTTTGTTTTTTTCTCATCAAAACTGATTTTAAAGCTCTGCTACTTCTCAAAGGATTGAGATAGAATAAAAGGCTTTTCAGCGTTAGTTACACGTTACCTTAAGATCGACGTGAGGTCATTTTTAGCCTGTCATATGTCCAAAACTTTCCTGGCGATGGGAAGGGGGCACATCCCCCTTTGGCACCCCATTGATGTACCTTTTTAACAGGGGGCAGCGCCAAAAAAATGATCACTTTTTTAACAACATTTCTCAAACGAACAACACTGTTTGGGGCCAAAATAGGGCATTTTTACAGTATTTGAGGCCTAAAAAGGGGAGTGAAAAAAGCTGTCAAAACACGTCTATATGAGGTAAAAGGTTTAGCTCTTGCTCACTGCTCATATCATGTCGTGTCCATATATTGTTTCTTCGCAATAGACATGGTGTTATATTTCATACAATAAAATTGGAAACTGGATAATTATTTTGAATCAAAATAGAATGATACATTTTAAATGTTAATAGAGGTTACAGAAATCTTATGAAATGGTCTCATTTCCAGGCAATGATTACAAAGGTTTTTTTTAAACATTAAATCATCTTCTAATGAAGAGCATCAAAATTAATTAAATATACTCTTGCTTAACATTTTATTTGTTGGTTTGTTGTTGTTTTTTATTTGTTTTTATTTGATAAAATTATGAACATGATAAAAGTACAGAAAACAGTCTGCTGTCAAATCCTCTGTTACTTATTTCACTTACAATGTATTTTTAACTTATTATTTCAAAATCAATATTTTAAAGAATTTATTTAATTTTTTCACAGATATATGTAATGAAAGAAGTGTAAATTTGTCGTACAACTGTTTTTACAAAGAGAGTTTGAGAATGGCACTGAGGAATCTGATTTTTTAAAAAATCTATTTTTATTAGTACATATTATATTAAAATAACCAGTCATGAAATACGTAATGTTTTGAGATATAACTAGTTCCGCTTAAAATATATTTTTACTGATTTAACAAAACGGTATGTTAAACGAAATAAGGGGCATTGTTGGCCAAGTGGTAAATGTCCTTGATATCAAACCGTATGCCCCTTACCGCTATGGAGTCGAATTTGCAAGAAACTTTGAATTACTTCATTGAGGAAGCTGTCAACTAGCTAACGTAATGTTAGTGGTTTTACTTAGGTGCCCGCTCGCGCCTGTAAAGCTAAAAAGTGGCCATCTGATATTTACAATGTTAAGCAAAAATCAAACCAAATACACAAAAGGAAAAAAAAACAACCGTTTTTCTTCCGTTTTTTCTTACATCATATCAATTATTAAAATTTATTACACTGAGAAGAACAATTAATGATATTTATTAAACCTTCAAAAGATTCAGATTAAAAAACATACCATTGACATATGTCATATTCTAAAAGTACATGTTCGTAAAATTAATGAAATATAACATGTAAAACTAATTATTCATAAATATACAGCAGTATACATTTGTATTTATACAACACTTAGAACAAATATTACAGTTATTCTGCATCAGAAATAAATTATTTCACAAAATACTAAAATAATTTATACATATGATAGCAATTATTACATTTTATGGCAATATTAGTACATATAATTGCAATATTAATACATATTATGACTCTATAGATATATATAATGGCAATACTAATACAATGTCATGACAATATCAATACATATTATTTTAATATTAATACATAAAACTAGCATAACACAGTTTATGTTTGTCTTTTGAAAGAATATCGTGGAGTGTAAGTGCCGTGGCAATGTGAAAATCACTTTTTATGTTCACTTCATTATGTTTTACTTTTAAAAACATTTTCAAAACTTTCGTGAAAATTAACATGAATCTGGAGGCATTCTTCTTAAATGTAATAATCAAAACAATTTAATAGTGTACTAAATGTAAAAATACATTATGTACAGTTCACGATTACAACAGGATTCGATATTAAAACATATATAAACAATGGCAAAATATATTTCACTTCTTCTGTATGTAAATTAGACAATGATATTAGTATATTTATCAATTACAAAATATATGTCAAAATACGTTATAAAAAGTAAAAAATTTGAAACTCAAAGATATCAAATACATTTAAATATGCATAATATAGAATTTCAAAATCCTCGACTTCCTTGTAAGTAAAATAAGGCAAGATATTAGTAAACTGATGAAAACATGTCTTACGATATATATTTCATATATTCATGCATGGTTACATAGATGTATATGAAGCTGAGCTGTAAAATAAGATATCTGTCCTGTTCAATGATAAAAAAGAGATCATTTTTTCACTTTAATCAGTCTTATTTTGTGTATGTAATAAATAGAATATTATATTCGTGTAGGTTCATTACTGAATTTATTGAACTTGTTGAATAAAGTAATATGGTCGCCAGTTTAATTTTATTCAACTTTTTCAATTAATTCAGTATTGAACTTATACTCATTCAATATCATCTAAGTATTACAAGTACGTAATAAACGCAGCAATATTTGAATACTGTATGACTATAAAATATGTTAAGTAAAAAAGTGACATTACTTAATTAACAATGAACGATTTAAAAAAAAATGTTGATATCCATTGTTATAACTTACTCGTAATAACTTAATTATTTATGACTAAATATATATATACTATAAAGTTTAGTGTTGTAACTTTAAAACAATGTAATAGTGTACAGTGTTTAAATTAATTGTAAAACAAGTATGCCCAAATTACGTAATGGATTTATATTAGCCTTTTATAGTTGTTTAACCTTTACCCTGTTTGGAAAAAGATCAGCCTTTGCCAGCAGTAAAGACCGGTCCAAAAACGGAAACAAATTTATTTATGAACTTCAGGGTAAAGGATTGAACGGTTATTCAGGCAATGCCTCTTGTAAAATTATCTACCAACACCATTCTTTGCACCTATTTTATAATAAAATAGAGATAACCAAACTCACTAAAGAAAGCCCAACACGACAAAAATTGAAAACAGTCCAGGCTCAGTTTAGTTGTAACTGCAAGCCAAAATATCATGCATTATATCGTCATCTTAGTACAGTAATAGGTTAACTCCTATGAATAGTTGAAGGAGTACACCCGTTACTGCACTTATGTGACAATATCTTTGTCATAGTCTTATAAATGAATTGTCTATATTTTTTGTAAACTAATATTTATATGTCATTCGTTAACTTATACACCCAGCATCATCATCTTCATATTTGAAAGATTTAAGATCTTCCATTACGACATGTCCACCGTACGCTAGATCATTGTCTTCTATGTAAATGACAGCATCTTGAACGGACAGATCATTTCCTGGAGATAGTGAATTGTCATTTCCACTTCGTGCAGTCACTGTATCAAGAAAATCGCCATCAATATCAGCGTCCAACAGATTTTTATCTTTTAATTTATCTATAAGCTTAATACATAAAGCGTTAAGGTTGCAGTGCTTCAATGCGTCTAGAATATCGTTCAACTGAGCGTTTGGGGTGGCCTGTCTCCAGCTGGTTAATATTTGGTATATTCTTTCATTGGGTGGAGTGTTTCCTTCTCCAGAATTTTCTATTTTCACATCAATTGTCTCGAAAAAATCTTTATTTGTGTTACCTAGAAAGCAAAATTTCAAAGATTATTACAACAAAAAAACCATGATAGAGGAAAAATTAAAATGTAGCTGAAACTGGGAATAAATACTTATATGTAATTACTGATATTTTATTTTGAAAATTAATTTAATTTGTTGGACATTGCTTACACACACTTTT